CACCGTGTCTCTTGGCAATCTCACGTCTCTCTATCTCTACTGCGATTGAAGAATCGATTATTGCGCAATCAATGGCTTTGTTCAGCAGAAAAAGCAACTTTGCAACTGTTGTAAGATTCTTTAATATGGTTGGTTTATACGTTTGGAGGAACTAAGGGCATGCACCAATCATATTAAAGACTCTTACAATACCTCGCTTACAATAGTTGCAAAGCTGCTTTTTCTGCCAAATGCAGCCAATGATACAAATATCCTTTGGAACGCTGCTTTTCTTTTTCAGATAGAAAAGTATCCCGCGCTCCGATCGTAACGATAGATGTATTAAGAGATAATAAGCACTTGCGATCGCAATTGCGTCACCGACGACGATTACCGCCTCGACTTATTGCTGATATCCAGTCGAATTAAAAATAAAGGAAAAATAAGAGGAAGGAGATCGTCGCGAGGAACTGTTAGGTGGCAATCTCCGGGATATTTTCACGATGTTTTTCCTGTGTAATTAGAGGCGGCGGAGCGGAGAGCAAACAAACCGGGTACCTGCGAGACAGAACTCGATATTGTCACGATGAGATGTTCGCCGCCGAGTCAGCGAATCGCATCCCGCTTCCCGGCCTCGTCTCACCGTCGCTCGTATCAAGAGAGAGAGAGAGAGAGAGAGAGAGAGATGTATTAGGAATTACACACGTATACCGTGTCTAAGCTCTCGAAAGTTCCACGAGCGAGCGAGCGAGCGAGCGCGCGTATATGTAATTTCGCCGCGCCGCGACCGGTTGCCGATCAAGCGCTTTCGTAAGAAACACCTGCGAGTCATTATCCCTCGCCTACCTTGGTTTTCCCCCGGCGATTCGATTTGCACGTGTGCAAAAAGAAAAATCACTCGCACGCTTCGCTCGCCGCTCTAAGCCGCGATAATTGATGGATTGTCGCTGTATGCCAGAATTCTAGGGATTACGGTAGATTTTGAAAGATTTTGGAAGATTTTGGAAGATTTTGGCAGATCAGTGCCATTGTCCTCTGACCGAGTGAAAGAGCGGTTTTCTTTAGTCTTTTTTTTATCGTTATGTATTACGGATATCAGCTCGCAAAAGTTGGACCGCGAATTAGTAGTAAATCAGCATGTTCTTATATACGAGTATACTTATA